GCCGCGACAACCCCTGGCCCTGGGCTGACATGGTGGCACTGGCTTGCCTTTACTAGGACTTGCACTAGGTGCCTACCAGGTTGATATTCTTCATCTTCATAAACTCCCTAACCGTTCTTCTCTTCTGCAATGACAATAAAAAACTTGATTAATAATAATAACCAATCATGCTCAACAATTGACGACCCCTTTTGAGCCCCGCTTGGCATTGTAAACTATTTTTAGTCTCTATTTAAATATCCTCCTTCCAAAAAGTTAATTATCTAGTTGTGATCAAAGAAATAGGCGAATACAATTTTTCTATATATATAGAGAGAGAGAGAGAGCCGAGACAGAGACTAAACTGGTTTCTGAAAAATGGGAAACTCGGACAAACAATACTTTGGATGAGAACAGCAGCAATAGGATTAAAGAGATTTATGTAAACAGCGTTGGCCTTGAGAACCATTTTTATGATAGCCAGCCGGTCCCGGGTATAAGTTTTCGCTCCTCCTTTACCAATCCCACACCCACACTATACATTACATAATCCCAGTAAACACCATATAAGTTGCATCTTTCGTGAAACAAAACTAAAGTCAAGGTCTTTGCACATTTAAAAGGTGTTGCATGTCTCTGCTTATTTCGAAAGTAGCTTTGAAAAGTAACTCAGAGTTTGCTTTTAAAAGCTGTTATCGAAAGGCCACTACTTTTAAAATAATTGAGATATTTTATTTTTATTAAATATCTTAAACTGCTTAACTTTAAAGTAAAGTAAGTTTTTGGCAACAAAAAACAAAAAAAACAAAACAAAACAAAACAAAATCTCAAACAAGACCTAATCACTTTGTTGTGAATAATCACGATATTGAAGTCTCCTAGAAGAATATAAAATAAAAAAAATTATAATATCACGCATCGGGCACGGCGGCTAACAACACTAAGGCATCAATATGCTCTTCAAATCTTTTCATCAATATTTCCATATTGTTTTATGTCTAGTAAATAACAGTTATTTGTAGCTTATACACATGCAATTTTAGTTAAGGATGATTTTATTTGAACTCCATAATTTGCTCTTTTGATCCCATATTAATTTTTAATATGAATAATTTATTTTACCCATGTACATAATTACTGTTAAGGACAAAAAATATTTAAAATAAAAATTAAATTTGCTCACTACACTCCCTATAATCCATATTACCATACGGTTTTATGACTAGTAATAGTTATTAGTGTTGTGCCAACGGCCTAATAGGAGTTCACTATCTGTCCATATCATGCATCGATATTGTCCTCATCTTAACCACCTAGGTCCAATTCTTGAGTTGAATTAAGCCAAATTGACCTCTAGAGATAGAAATATGTCTTTGCACGTTTCAAAGAAGAAGATAAAAATATAAAAAGATAAAGCAAAAGATAAAGGTACAAAAAAGAAAAAGGTGTTTATGTAGTGGATTAAAACGTCAAGGTCTTTGCGCGTTTCAAACATATAATAGAAAGATAGATCCTTGCGTGTTTCGCACAAACAAAAAAGAAAATCAAACCTAAACAGCACACCAAGTTGTTTATTTATTACAAGTGGTAGTGGATCGTGCCTAAATTCTAATCTATCTATATATGAATGAGAAAACCTTTTATGTATTAAATTGTTTTATCATAAAAGATCTCGGTACTATTAGTTGTATAATCACTCAGACTCACTATTATATTCTATTTTTATATTAAATTCTAGGCACATTAAATTGGTTTGAAGGTGTTATGAATATTTTCAGCTCTACAAGTTGGTAGCAATCTTTACCTTCAACGACTTCGATTGATGAATTGAGTCTTTCACCAAATTGCTTAGACATTTGAAATATATGGAAAAGTACCAAACATGTGTTTTTGTTGTGTGGTGTTCTTTGCAGAGGTTGATCATACAATATACGTATCCGAGGAGGTCTTAATTAATAAGAGATGAATAAATGAAGAGAGGGTCAAAAGGAGAAAGCATGATGATCACATCGTCACACAGTTGTTATTAATTCACATATGATAATATGGGTGGAAGATATATTTTTATATTTTAGAGTATTTGATGTAGAACGGCTTGCAGAGGAGATTGAGGGGCAATTGGACCGATGCACGCACAAGGTCATCAAAACTAGTTGTTGCAGGTTTGGGCCTCAAGCTCCGATTGGGATCATAACCCGTCAGTTCGAAGAGAACGAGATAAGGTCAAAAGAACATTTTATTTTTCAGGTTTTTTTTGAAATTTTGTTGTTTTTGTTTTAGACTTTAATTATAATTCCTAACATTCGTTTTATTCAAGGTTTAGAGGCTTGAGAATGTGTATTAAATTGCATTTTGGTGTTTGGTAAGTGAGCTATTGGGAATATAATACCTTATTCATGTATATGAACTTCATGATATGTAAGTCTCACATCAAAGAATACAACAATAATTTATAGTTCAAATATAGGTTGTCCACTATTAATTATTAAGACCTTTTGTGATAAAACCTCACACCTAGAGATTCATTAGGCCTTCTCTCTCTTAGGTGGTTGACGTGGAGAGATAACGCTGGAGATCTGGACTTCTCTTTAATAGAGGTGGCCCCCACATAGGTAGGGCCTATAAATAGCAGACCGTCAAATTAAAAAAATTAAATCACTCGATCAAAGGAGTTACAAAGTGGGAGGGTGTTCCTCTCACTTGTGCAAAACGTCTGTGTCTTTCGGCTCTCACTACCGAGGATCGTTGGCCTTTATCATGATTCATGATTCATGATTCATGTCGGCTGTTTGGTCCCTCTTTTGCTCCTTTACTTTCCTTTTTCTTTTTTCGTTTGGTTTGTTTGTGGTGTGACTAGTCTGGGTTGTCTGGCCCGTGCGTTTGCAATTTTTTTTTTGGTGTGTTCTTTTGTGCTTGATAGTTATATGATTGATTTTCCACACTTGACTAATGTAAGTGAATGACTCATAAAGATTAACTGATTTGGGTGATAAACTTGATGAAAAACAACATAATCTAAATTGATTGATAATTCAACCTACAACCCAACAATCCTAGAAAGCACCAAGTTGTTTATCAGTGGATTATGCATGATCTTGTCTATAATATCATTGAGACAACCTTCTACATACTATTGTTAACTTGTTCTGTCACAAAAGGTGTTGGTGTTATTAGCTGACTGAGACAAACGGGGCATGTAGAATAATAGCTACAAATACAACATTACAGAAACAAAAACCATGACATAATTATGCTCTCTGGCCTTATCCTGTATTGCTTCTGCTTCTGGTTTGTATCAGAGTAAACTGGTTTGACCAGATTATATCCTATTTATTACCACCTCTTATGGAAAATTCACATCCAAAAATTTGGTTTCTGGGACAGAAGCCTATGCTGAATTCAATTTGCCTGACGGCTGACGGCAGTCCATGTAATGATTCTACCAATTAGAATTCATAAACTAGCAATCTAAGATTATTTTCCCTCCAAACTTGATCAACCACATCCACATTTCCATAATGTTTTATGACTTGTAAATGTAAAACAGTTATATGTATTTCTTTGCTGCTTGCAGCTTCAATTCAAATGCCATTTATTTACTTTTTACTCGCAATTCACTGAGAATGATGGGTTCCTCAGTTACTGCATTTACACTTTGCATCATCTCATGTGTACTGAATCCATCATCTTTGGCATAAAAAAAGTGCAGCACTTTGCTCATGTTCCAAACCAAATCCTTGCAAGCCCTTGGTACTATGCTACCCGACTCCTGTAAAACTAATCGTAGCAGCTCTCCCCTCTTACTTTTTATAATACTATTTATCTCATTGATGGCCTCTTCTTCAGTAACGACACCGTTCCCATGAATCATGGTCAACGATAGAGCATTTAGCTTCCCTTCAGTGGAATCCCTCTGCAACACAGCCAGGAGTTATGAGTGAACGATAACAAATTGGATACTAGTTTTTCTTTTCGAAAGAATAATGTGGGGATATTGTCTACCTTGAAGCCTTGGATATCATTCAGAAGACGTCCACAGGTGCTCATAAGTCTATAAAGCTCATGCAATTCGGAACTTCCTACAACCTCCTCTGAAAGCTCGTGCCCAACAAAATAGAGAGCTGGAAGGACAATTGGTCCAATGCCAATTGATATATATCCATTTGTCATATACTCCTCCATTGTTGGCACCGACTTGTTTCTCAACCACTCAGCTTCCTTCAGCCCAGACTTGAGCAAATCCAACCACTGAAAATCAAACATAGCTCATTTCATCCCCAGTTAAATGAATAAAAACAAGTTGAACTTGATAAAAGAAGCTGTTGAGGAAGACATAGTGCTTTTAGAAAGGAAAAATAAAAGATTTTAACTTACAGTCTCAATTATGTCACTTGTCACACTGCGTCCTTGTTGTGCGAATGCCTTGACTCCAATCTCATTAATTGTGTTTTTAAGTGCTGAAAATATAATTTCAACATGCTCGGAACAACAATCAACACTCACATTCACATCCCACCTGAGGTTCAGACAGAAGGAACTTTAGGCCCTCAATGCCAGAAAAACAAAATAAGGAGCGCAAGCATAAACTGCTGACCAACAAATTGATCCAATGGAAATAGGAAAGGAATGGGAACACAGGAAACGTACTTCTCGATCAATCGTATAAGGTTTACTAGCTCCTCTTCAGAACCTCCAACGTCAGTGAAATCATCAACCACAGTTGTAAGCACTCCACTTTTGGCCCATGACATGCGGGCATCCGATAGTTCAGGAGCGAAAAGGTTTGCAGCAGCAGAGAAGTAACAGTAGGCCTGTTTCTGCCTATAAAACTTTAGCTTGTCTAATCGGTTCTCCACAACCCACCTGCTTACATGGATGGACATCGTAAATAATCATACATGGATGGACATCGTAAATAATCAAACAAAATAAAATAAAGATATTCTGCGTTGCCTTAAAACAACGAAAGCAACCACCTCCACGACCTGCATTTCCCTTGTTTCAATTGAAATCAAGGTCAAGTGGATATATCTACCTTGCAATATGGTTGAGCTCTTTATGGTGTATAGACTGGCAAATGTTGAAGTCTTCCACTGCCAGCTTTAGAAAATCTTCATTTCCAATATTCAAACAACTAGCATGAGAGTACAAGGATAAATAAGTAATCTACATTGATCCCTCATAATAATTTGGCAGAAATCAAATTCTTCTTAAAATAGAGGGAGAAGAAGAGAGAGACAGGAGGAAATACAAGAGGTTTACCTATAAGATGATTTTAAAATTCTTGTACTCTCTGTGTTGTAAGATTTTATTGCTCTCCTGCTTGATAACAGGCCCAAACTTGCGTAGAAAGGAAACTTAAGAGCATCATCCACCTTCAAATAATCAAAAGGTTAAATTTGAGGGAATTACCTTGTGATTATAAAAAGCTAAATCACCAGATCAACAACAGAGACTTATCACAAAATTACCTCCAGGCCAATATGCTTATTGAGTCTACGAGCCTGAGTTAAAGTATTGGATAACTCCTGTTTCAGGAAATGACTCATCCAGTTATTTTGTTTCTCAAGAACCGATTCATCTGGATGTATGATGATTTCTGAAGCCTTAAACAATTCCAAGGCAGCACCAATGTCCTTCATATACCCCCCAAGGGAATTGAAGAAATGATCTTCTGAAAATTGACTTAATGGATCTGCAAGACAGCATAAATCAATTGAACATTTCTTGCCAAAACTAAGTCTTGCACACCAAGGCACCTAAACTGACAAATACCTGCAGAAATATCATATCCATGAACACGTAAGAGTCGAAAAGCCATTGCACAGGTGGCAGCATCTGAAAATATATCTTCCTCCCCCTGCTGCCAGCATCTGTTTATTGGATAATGTCATGCTTCCCCATGGAAGAGAGCTACAATCTATCTAAACTTAATGTTTCACAAAAGCTAAAGCCAAGCACACCATTTACTGGTGCATACATACATGTATAGGAAACATTACCAGTATGTTTCATCCAGTACACTTCTTATTTCCTCCCTGAAATGTCGATCAATACCCAAACTTTCAAGACTGGCAACCATAGAAAGACGAGCATAGTTATTTAGAGGATAAACCGTTGGAACTGAAAAGGGTAATCGAAAATAATCGGTTAAACTTCAACCTAATATAATAAACACGCCTAGAAAATTAATGGTAAGTACTGAGTGAAGAACCTGCATTGCCACACTTCTCTAAGAGTGCACGTAGGTACTTAAGACAATCAGCATTCTTAAGTTGAGTAAAAGCAGCAGCTGTGGTTGATGGCGAATTAAACAAGGACCCATTCTTCTTTTGGTACTTCATGACCAACTCCCAATCCTGTGAGCCAAGTCCTTCTGAAATATATGCTAAGAAGGTTCTCCACCCCTCTGAGTTGCTTCCATAGCCTCTAAAATATTTCAAACAGAGATTTTTCACTTAACAATTTCAGTGCATTCCATTCGTTGTAACGAGCATATGAACTAGACTCTACTGTTGTATATATCTGTTCCTCTAAAGAAAACAAGACATACCTTTTAAGCTCAAAGTCTCTTCTGTGAAATAAAGCATCTAGGGTTGGTGCTCCTAGGGGAAGATACATATCGAAATTCATTGCAGATTCAATCATGGCAGGAAATATTATATTAAATCCAACAGGAGATTGTTGCTCTTCATCGGTAGCTGAAGCTAAATTTGATTCAATAAAATGTAGCCCTAAAAGAGCAAGAGAGGCGTTCATTAGTACAGCATGAAGGAAACTTAGCATGAAGCAAGAGCAACAGATATACCCTTGTTAATTTGTTCTTCGCCAACACTCCACCGCTTTAGTGCAAGGATACATGCTAAGGTAGATAAGAGAGCATCTTTGATTAACAAGGGATTAAACTTAGGACCCCATGAGCCATCATGGAGTTGATTTGCCAATAACCAATTTACACATTCAGGGAAAAAAGGGTCCTTTGAAGAATTTGGAGAAGGGACCATTGCCTCCCAAGCAATGTCATATGATGAAACAGAGAGATCAACCTCGTTGAACATCTTCTTTATTCTTTCTTTAGTCCCCTCAAAATTCTGATTGGACTAAAAAAAAACACTTTTTGGCATTGTTAACAATATAAAGAGTATAAAGGAAACAATAGAACTAGTGAGGGATAGCCTTACGAAAACAGCGGTATTGCTCTCTCTCTCTGCTGCCCCATTTAGTCTCTGGACTGTTGAAGCTGCTTGTGGCAATAAATTTTTTCCAGATTATTAAAGAAAGTACATCTTAAAGAGCAGAAATCCAATCCAGGTAACCCAAAAAACAATGTTCTTACATTATAGACAAAAACTGAGATAGTAAGAATTAATACTAAACAGTTGAGAGAACTCTAATTATATGCTTTGCTTATACCTCTTATAGGTTACATGCTAATAGAATTTCATATTTGTGGCAATCCAATCATTGAAAACAAAAAAATTAACCTTATCTTCCACTTATTAGAGGTTTCCATGAGTTCAATCTTGATTTTAGATGTCCTTAGACACCTTAAACTTCCAATTTCTCATAAAACCACCTTAGACACCTGAGACAATAATAACTCAAAATACAAATTTAGGAAGTTATGCACAGAAAATTTCTAGTATCGGAGCATCAATGACAAAAACTTATCAAGGTAACAGAGGATTAAGCATGCAATAAAAAGACGCAATCCAAGAAAACCATGCATAAACCAAAAAAATAAATAAACAAAAAATAGAATATGGCCAGAGAGAGAGAGAGACCTGAGGGGGGAAAGGTGGAACACCTAAGATTGTTAAGGTGGGAGAAAGACATGGTTGATGGTTGTACAGAATGAACAAAGAGTGTGACAGACAGTTGCAACTCCAAAAAGGAAAGAGAAAGCTTTGAATGAGAGAGTTGGAATATGTATGTGTATGTATGTAAGTATGTGGTGAATGGAGAGCCTGAGAATTAAGATGGCAGGGGAATCAAAGATACGGCCAATAGGAAGCTCTAAAGTTTAAATTAAGTCATGGATGGCTATTGGAATTTATTCATATTTGTTGCTCTCCAATCCAAGCTACATTCTGAGTTTCCAATTTTACATTGTTGGTAGATTTTCTACAATGTTTCTTCGACGTTTTGACTTAACTTTGTTTTCTTTCTTTTGGTCGGAACTGAATATAGTCAAGCCAAACGGCAGAGCAAGAAGGAAGAAAGAATCGACGCAGCCAGCAAGAGGAGGATGCAGGGGCCAAGTCAAACGTAAGAAGAATGCACAAAACAAAGGCCACATAACAAAAAACACAATAAAATGGAAAATAGAAGCAGTGGAAAGAGCTATGCTATGCGTACCAGATATATGGGATAGAATGATCCCATGCATGCAGCACCAGTATTGGTTTTCATAAATGACGCATTTTGGGATGATACAGGGCATTAGCTCTTTACATGGAATGATGTCTGCGTAGCCAAGCATTCTTCATTTGAGAATGAAAGCATCAGGATTTGGAGGAATACAATCACACTGTGGTGCTTCCAGATTTCCCAGCAATTGAAACTGACAATAAAGAGAATCCAAATCCAATAGGATTTGCATAAATAGGTAAGTAGGACAGAAAAAATAAGACAAAAGTTGGCTTTCCGTACAAACATGTGAACACATTCGTTTGCATCTGCAGAAAATCACTATAGATAGCTAAAAATTGTTCTGCCTATGTGCCTCAAGTGATACAATTTATGGGCCCACACAGCAAATTAATAATATCAAGAATCATATATAATATTTTTTTTGTTTAGATTTGATTGTCCTTACTGACACAAGAATAAGAACTTGGTGGTGGTTAGTATAGAACATATTTACTAATATTAACTTGCAAATAATTAATAAATGAAGAAGGTTTACAATCTCATTGGTTAGCCTGTCATGTGCAGCCATTCTATTCTGTGCATGTGCCAGATGAATCAATTAGAAAGAGTGAGTTGGTTTGTCATAGAATAGAAGAAGGAACAGCCATAGAGAAAACTATAAGATAATCTCAAATTAGTTTTCCCTCCAAACTTGATCAACCACATCCATATTTCCATAAGCACCATATATCATCCCTATTTGGTTTACTGACTGGTAAAGAACAATTTTTTTGTATGGAGAAATCTACTACACATGAAATTGGTTACAAAATTCATCGGCAACGATGGGTTTTTCAGTTACTGCCATAACAGTCTTCATCATATCATGTGCAGTGAATCCATCATTCTTTGCATAAAATAGATGCAGCACTTTGCTCATATTCCAAAACAAATCCTTGCAAGCTCTTGGTACTACGCTACCCTTCTCTAGCAAAACTAGTCTTAGCAATTCTCTCCTCTTACTCATTATAACACTCTTCATCTCATTGATAGTCTCCTCCTCAGTGACGACCCTGTTGCCATGAATCATGGCCAACGTTAAAGCATTTAGCTTCCCTTCCGCAGATTCCCTCTGCAACGTAGCAAGGAGTTATGAGTTAACAATATTAGATGGGATATGGTTTTTATTTTTTTATTTTCTCAAGGAGAATGGGGTGATGTTGTCTACCTTAAAGCCTTGGATATCATTGAGGAGACGCCCAGAAGTGCTCATAAGTCTATACAGATTATAAAATTCGGAATTTCTGACAACCTCCTCTGAAAGCTTAGGCCCCACCAAATAGAGAGCTGGGAGAACAATTGGTCCCAACGCAAATGATACATATGCATTTGTCATATATTCATCCATTGTTGGCACCGACTTGTTTCTCAACCACTCAGCCTCCTTCGACATAGACTTGAGCAAATCTAACCACTGAAAATCAAAGATAGCTCACTTCATCCCTAGTTAAATGAATAAAAGAATGAACATGATAAAGACCATTTAGACTCCCTTGTCATGTACTCTACTTTTGTGAAGTGAGGGAATAGAAAATCAAATAACCATCTTATCATCCACCAGACAGACAGAATAAGGTACCATCAAAATCAGTGTAAGAGAGTGTTCAGGAATGTGAAGTGCATTTTAAGCTGCTTAGGAGGACAACTAGTGCTTTTAGAAAAATATTTTCCGATATTACTCAATAGATAAAGCAATGATAACAAGGACAAATTAAAAGATTCCAACTTACAATCTCAATTACGTGACTTGTCACACTGCGTCCTTGCCACTTGAATGCCTTGACTCCAATCTCATTAATTGTGTTCTTAAGTGCTGAAAATATAATTTCAACATGCTCGGAACAACAATCAACACTCACATTCACATCCCACCTGAGGTCCAATTACAACGAACTTTTAAGACCTCTGTCAGAAATAAAAAAATAATAGGAAAGGAATGGGAAAAGGAAACATACTTCTCGACCAATTGTATGAGGTTTACCAGTTCCTCTTCAGAACCTCCAATGTCAAAGAAATCATCAACCACAGTTGTAAGCACTCCATTTTTGGCCCATGATATGCGGGCATCTGATAGTTCAGGAGCAAAAAGGGTTGCAGCAGCAGAGAAGTAGCAGTATGCCAGCTTCTGCCTAGCAAAATTTAGCTTGTCTAATCTGTTCTCCCCAATCCACCTGCTTACATGGAGGGAAATCACAATATAATAAATAAAAAAATACAAATATTCTGCATTCCTTTAAGCAATGAAAGCAAGAAGCAGAAAATCTAGAAACAAGAAGCTTGCAACATGTACCTTGCAAGATGGTTGAGTTCTTCACGGTGTATAGATTGGCAAATATTGAAGTCATCCACTGCCAATTTTAGGAAATCTTCATTGCCAATATTCAAACAACTAACATAAGAAGAGCACACCAATCAGTAAGTAATACACTGGTCCGTTATAATAACTCAGCAGAAATCAATTTCTTCTTAAAAAGGAAAAAACAACAGGGGCTGTGGAAGAAAATGCTAGAGGTTTACCGGTAAGAAGATTTTAAAATCCTTGTACTATCTGTGTTGTAATATTTTATAGCCCTCCTGGTTGACAACCGACCCAAATTTGCATAGGAAGGAAATTTAAGAACATCTTCCACCTGAAGACAATCAAAAGTTGCATTTTTAGGGATTACAAAAAGCTAAAACACCAAATCAATATGATAAGAGTTCTCATAACAAGCTACCTCTAGGACAATGTGCTTATTGAATATATGACCCTGAACTAAAGTATTTGATAACTCATGTTTCAGAAAATGGCTTGTCCAGTAATTTTGTTTCTCCATAACTGATTCATCTGGATGTATGATGAATTCTGAAGCCCTCAACAATTCTAAGGCAGCACCAATGTCCTTCAAATATCCTCCAAGGGAATTAAAGAAACAATCTTCTGAAAATTGACTTAATGGATCTACAAGACAGCATGAATCAATTAAATATTTTTTGCCAAAAACTAACTCATGAAGACCAATGCACCTAAAACTGATAATACCTGCAGAAACATCATATCCATTAACACGTAAGAGCCGAAATGCCATTGCACAGGTGGCAGCATCAGAAAATATATCTTCATCACCGTGCAGCCAGCATCTGTTTGTTGGCTAATGTCATACTTCCCCATGGATGAAAACTAATAAATCTCTAAATATAATATTTCACTTGAGAATGATTAAAATAATCACAATTAATTCGTCGTCCAAGCTACACCCAAACACCTCATTCACTGGTGCATACATGTATAGGAAACATTACCTGTATGTTTCGTCCAGTACACTTCTTATTTCCTCCCTGAAATGTCGATCAATACCCAAACTTTCAAGACTGGCAACCATAGAAAGACGGGCATAGTTCTCTAGAGGATAAACCGTTGGAACTGAAAATAATAAGTTGAAAATAATCGATTAAACTTTATCCTGATATAGTAGATACACCTAGAAAATTAATGGAAAATTTTGAATGACGAACCTGCATTTCCAAACTTTTCTAAGAGTGTGCGGAGGTACTTAAGACAATCAGCATTTTTAAGGTGAGTAAAAGCAGCAGCTGTGGTTGACGGTGAATTAAACAAGGACCCATTCTTCCTTTGATACTTCATGACCAACTCCCAATCCTGCGATTTTCCAAATCCTTCTGAAATATATGCTAAGAAGGCTCTCCACCCCTCTGAGTTGCTTCCATAACCGCTAAATGATAACATTTTGGAATGGAGATCTTTTAGAATAATTTAGGATGCAATATAGAAATTTAACCATACCAGTGCATTTCCATTATTTTGACTAGCACATGAACTGATTGTATCACGTATATCCATTCCTTTCCTATCTAATAGACAAAGCTAATTCCACATCTACAGATTTGAGCTCACCTGGCTTGATAGCCTAGTGATAAGATAAAAAAAGAACAATAAAATAATAATAACAACAACAACAATAATAATAGTAATAAATAACTATGAGATAGGACCAAACTTAAAACAAGAAAAGAAGAAACAAAATATACCTTTTAAGCTCACGTTCTCTCCTGTGAAACAAAGCATCTAGAGTTGGTGCTCCCAGGGGAAGATTCATATCCAACTTCATGGCAGATTCAATCATCGCAGGAAACATTATATTAAATCCAACAGGAGAATGTAGCTCTTCATCATTAGCTGAAGCCAAATTTGATTTGATAAAATGTAGCCCTAAAAGAAAAAGAGAGGTGTTCATTTATAGAACATTAATGGAGGAAACTTGGCAGTTAACAAGAAGCAAGAACAATAGATATACCCTTGTTAATTTGTTCTTCGCCCACACTCCACCGTTTTAGTGCAAGGATACATGCTATGGTGGACAAGAGAGCATCTTTCATCAACAAGGGATGCAAATTTGGAGGACCCCATGAACCATCATGGAGTTGATTTCCCAATAGCCAGTTTACGCATTCAGGGAAAAAAGGGTCCGTCAGGGAATTTGGAGAAGGGACCATTGCCACCCAAGCAGTGTCATATGAGGAAACAGTGAGATCAACCTTGTTGAACATCTTCTTTATTCTCAGTTTAGTACCCTCAAAATTCTGCTAAAATTAAAAGACACGTTTACTGTCAACAATATGATATAAAATACTACAAAGGAAATAATAGAACTAGTAGAGGATAAATCTTACCAAACCAGCAGTATTGCCCTCTGCTTCCCCATTTAATGTCGGGATTGTTGAAGCTGCTTGTGGCAAGATATGATTTCCATAAATTTTTTCTGAAAAAAAAATAAATATTATAGAGCAGAAATTCAATGTAGGTTACCCAAAAAGCAGTGTTTTTGCATTATAGGGAAACCCGATAGTAAGCATCATAAGTAGACACTCGGATTTGTGTTTTGTATAAACATAAGTTCATTATCTCTTTGTTGGAACATGTTCAAAGATTTTCAAGCTATGACAATCCAATCATAGAAAAAAGCCGCAAAAGAAACAGTTAAAACAAAACCTTCTTCTTCCAAATTAGCACTGAAATTAACCATATCATATCTTTCACTTATTTGATGTTTCCATGAATCCAATCTTGGTTTTACCTAGTTTTCTCTATTGCTATAGCATCCGACATAAGTCAACAGATTGTTTGTCACCATTTCATTTCATGCATACAACCTCCTCCCAAAGTAATCACAAACTCTTTGGCACTATCAGAGTGCTGAGCTTAGGATCCTTGAGCAAGCCTAAGGATATCTCCTTTAACCCAATAAGCAAGGTCGGCATTATCCTCATAGGGACCATTTGACTCAGAGATCCTAGCACCGTAGCTTGATCCCAATTGCTCACAAGGTACCTGAATGACCGAGCAGCCTGTTGGTAAAGGGCCATGCTATTTCCGCAGAACCTACCGCAGTCATTACCATGGGACCTGCTGGTAGCACCAGACCCTCCACCAGCTGGCATTCCCATTCCATATGGCATCAGTAGAAGGCACACCAAGTGACCTCAAAAGATTCCCACACTGGAATTGAGAAGGGGACATATACGTGCCAGGCATTCCCTAATCAATATGCACGAATCCTACATATAAATACCACAAAGGTGAACTCCTTTATTGCTACTATAAATACCCTATTGTTCACCCCATTTAAGGTATGCAGTTATTACCCTCTATTACTGAGATTTTGCTAAAATCGATATTTAGATTCCCCTGCTGAATTGGGCATCCAAGGGTCGTAGGCCAGTACCGTATGGTGCCTTTCGTTGGCTACTTGGTGGCTTGTCTTGCAGACTGCTCGGACACTCCGAGCAGGGAAAAGATACACACAGCTCAATCTATCTGATTTGACTGATTGTTGACTCCTTGGTCCATTTTTGAGCATCAACATGATGACATCCTTTAATGTATATATGGCTGCCCATCCATCTCAAGATTTTAAGTTCAACTACACAGTTTATGGACAATAAACTTTTTGCTGCTTATGCAGCAGATTTCAACTTAGAGTCTGAAGCTTAGATTGCAGCATAAGATTTCCAGTCAACAGTTTTTACCACTGTGTTTCATTAATATATGATCAGCTACACAAATTCTTGCTTTCCATTCTTTTCCATGTTGTACAATATCTCCTATTAAAATCATTGTTTGAAGTATTTTGTATTGATTTTTCCACATTAGTCTTGGTCAGCCTCTTGGTCTTTTACCTTCTACTTTGATCTAGTACATAAGGGATCTGCCTTAGTTACACTCATTTCAAAGCAATTCGAATACACATTCATTAATTTATCTCTTAATTACATTCATGCAATTTGGACTCTACATTCATGCTTTTTGGACTCCACATTCTCCCACTAAGAGTCTTAGTAAGTCCTCTAATTGCTTACCCTTTTACCATACTTTTGAAGTTCCTGCTCTTTTGAGCCACCTTATATATAAATTTATATATTTTCTTACAATAAGAGAGAAGATGGAGAGACTACAAAGACAAGAGTCTTGAAATCCTAAAGATAAATCCTTAGTCCTCGGACTCCTCGCAATATTTTTTTATGAATTCTTCTCTTTGATTATCTACCAATATATTCCTAGTTTCTAGTGGCAACTCTTGAGAAGTAATGCTACCAATGCTTCCTGTGTGATCCTTTACATGCATGTTCTAGTGAACAGATAAATCAGGTTCTCAAACTTGAATGAATCCTGACAAGAGGTGTCAAAATGGCATTTTATTTGCTTAATTAAAGAACCTTCTTTTGGTTAATTCTTCAAGTTGCAACCAAGCCTGGATTTAAGAATTTAACAACCTGAGACACTAATAACTCGAAAACTAATTTTTGAGATCAATGACAGAAAAATTCTAAAGTTCGGACATCAATACCGTCAAGATAACCAAAGTAACAACATAAACACAAAATACCCAGTTCAAGAAAATCAAGCATAATCCCAAAACAAAACAAAAACAAATGAAATATGTTGAGAGAGAGAGAGAGAGAGAGAGAGAGAGAAACCTGATGATAAGGAAAAGGTGGAACATTTAAGAGTGCTGAGGTGCGAAAAAGACATGGATGTACTTGTCTCAGAACGAACACACAGAGATTGTGAGAGCTGCAACTCCAGAAACCTCTGAATGAAAGAAAGAGAGTGTGGTTTGTAAATGGGGTGTATAAATGTAAGTGGAGAATGGGAACAAAAATGGCAAGAGATACCGGCCACCAGGAGACCCCAAAACGACAACAGAAGTCTACAGGAAGAAGAGGAAGATGCTGCTTGTCAGAAACAAACGACTATCATTAAAGAGTATAAGTAAGACACTGGTTTTTTTATTTAGAAAGAATTCAAATGGTTCTTTCTTTCTTTGGTATCTTTTTCTTTTATACCTGTTGCTTTCTAAGCTTCTGCTTCTGCAGTGTTGTTTGACGTGTCACTGTCCAAGAATATATTGCCACCTTCTCCTCCTATTTGATAAATATGGTATTGTTTTTTGGCATTACCAAACTTTGGCAAATTGGCATGGATAGGTACAAAGGTAGGATCTCAATGTTGATCATAATCTTGTCAATCCCCAATATTATAACATGTGAAATTTATAAACAAAACAAATACTATATTACAAATTTGAAATTCGTTCTCCCTTATTCTTATCTAGGATTTGAAATTCCTAATGTTTAGTTGGTCTTGTGCAGATTCATCATGGAACATTGAATATAATACAGAAAGGTAAAAATGTCCTTTCATTCTCAAAGAACATTGAATCCGACTAATTTTGGTATATTTGCGTTTTTCATTCCATTGTTGTCATATACATCGAATCTTATTATTGGATGAATATGGTATACACCTGAGTTACTCAGTACCTGTTTCCTCCAATTCTTGGTATATAAATTTTCCTTTCATGTAACATTCGGGCCACCAATAATTTTCCTAAGGAAGATACAGTTGCCTTTTCAATTTTCAGTTCTTAATATAAAAGCTTTCTTCATCAACAGAATATATGTGTACAGTTTTTCTAGGGGAGGTGCTTGCTGGTTTAGTCTAATATTAAAATTTTAAAATTCAATTTCAAGACTTATTTTTGTTGTCCCTACACTTTCACTCAGATATAACATTCTAGGGGAGGTGCTTTTACTCATTTTCTACCTGCAGAGATCATTTCCAAATTTGTTTATCAGCCTACTAGATTATTAGATTCCTCTGTATGCATGGAACGATGATCATGAACGAATGTCTACGGCATACACGACCATCCGAATGGAGAGGTCTCAGTTCAGATAAGGGGGTGGGGGGAGGAGGAAAAGAGAAATGCTAGCAAGGTCACTAAAATTTGCATCAACAAGCAATAATCTTAACCAAAATCTAAAGGACCAAAAGACAAAAATAGAGACTCAGAAAGTTCAGTTCCATACAAGCTCTAAAATATAAAGCAAAGATGGATTTAACTAAATGGTCAGTTACACAAGCATTGAAAGGCCTTCCTTTTTGGGAGCATGCACCACGTTCTTGTTCCCAGGGAAGGCAGTGCGAGAGATGTCTACCAGGGCCTTGAAACTGTATGGTTCGTGCATGGACAGCTCTGACAAAACTTTCCTGTTCAGCTGAATGTTCTCCTTCATCAACCCATGCATGAAATTCCCATAATTAACCTGATGACAACAGCAAAAATAAAATAAAAGGGAGATCAGAATTCAGTAGAAAACATATATTATACAGGAAATCACATGACAACCACTCAAATAACTTTTCCTTTATTTTTTTAACAGGAAAACCGCTCAAATAGCGTAGGATCATCACATCCGCAATATATTCCAGCTTCTACCAATTCAACAGCTCAACAGATTTCAGGCCAGAAGGTCTAAGATACATATGATTCCTCACACCTTAATCTAAACTTCTGTAGCTTTCCCCAACTTCCTAGTTTTTCCAAACCCGACCATAAAAATATAATTTGGATGTACTGTAGTGCAGAGAATATCCAAGTCAAACAAAAAACTTGAAGTCAATTTGAAAACATTGGGCAAAGTTCTTAAGACCACAGGCAGGGTTTACATGCTAACAATCTTTGTAACCAATTCCAAGAATTCCAATGAGGACCCTTATTTTCACATGCTATTCTTTTTACTTTTTTACATCTACTTTTCACTAACCAAGTTCTTAGACGTTTACTCTCCATTCTCTTGATTTCCATATCTTAAAAAATACAACCATAATATGCTTAACCAATATTGGAGAAAGAACAATCCTCTTGATCTTTTATGCAACCAAGGCTACTAAGCAACCTCTAGACACAATGGCAAAACAAAACTTAACAAAAAAGACTCTACCCGGGTTAGGATACATGACCCATGCTTCTCTTACTTTCCTATGAGGTAAGTTTCTACATTAGCATATAAAATAGTCTCTCATTTTCCCATCTTTTAACTCCTAAAACCAAAAAAAACTGATATGAAGTTAATTGTTCTGCAGTACATTGAAAAGCTCAAGTCCTTAATTTTCAATAATCAGGATTTTCAACAAAACATGACTTATTACAACGCAATCTTAGACTGAAAGGAATGCAGGAGGGCCAGGAAAGGAAGAGAAGTACAGAGTGACTAAAAATGGGCAATCTAGGAATAAAGGTCTCTTGAATTATCCCCAACCAAAATGACCTGAAACAGTTCCCTTCACATTTTGTTTAAAGAAAATCCACATCAGCAGACCTACATGCCCTACTGATGGTGAGGCTATGTTGAGACTCAGTTACAGCATCACATCACCAGAGTCATTGACTCACTGCCATATCAATAGGATGGCCCTTTTACTCTACTGCCACACCACCATCTATATACACAAAGTATTGGCTACTATTGCACAAGATAACAATCTTTGACCAAATCAATACGCATCATCTATCTTTCTTCACGTTTATTCTTCTCCCTCACTCCTTTGCGTCCAAGTTGTAGGCAATATAGAAAGGAACTCAGAAATAATTTCACTGGATAAAGATAACTAAATAGACATAGCAAACAGAAGTGTATGGAAAAGTGTAACTTTGATTGAAGTCCAAAACCAAGTGAATGAGAAACTGCTATAATTCTCTCAAACCAATAGTACCTCATGCATCACATATAAGGTAATAGTCACAATTCAATACATACACCATGGATGCGGGTGCCAGCATTGATGCGTTGGATCCATAGGGAGCGCATGTCTCGCTTCTTGGTACGGCGATCTCTGTAGGAATACTGCAAGGCCTTCTCCACCCTCTCTCTGGCAATCCTTATGCAATTCTTGGCCCTTCCCCTGAAGCCCTTAGCTAGCTTGAAAATCTTATCCTTGTTCATTGTTCACTTTCCCTTAATTTCTTAAAAGATCAACACACACACACACACAGAGAACACCAACAAAACATAATCAGCGTAGGAATTATCAGTTATTTAAAAGACCCGTTTCTTCCTATTACAGAACAAAGCCAGACAAGTATTCATAAAGGGAAATTCCCCATTGGACAGCAGAGGATCCAGTAGAATGATATAAATTACTAATAAAGTCCGAACATTACAAAGACGCCAATCCCTTAATAACCAGTTTAAAAGAAAATATTGATTTTGCGCAACAAATTCTATTGCCAAGAGGGAAATTAAAATTCTCATCAACAATTTAAGCAGCGACTCTTCAGGCTTGACATACTGGAATGCGAAAGAGTTGCAAAGAGTTCAAAAGGAAACTATAATTCATAAAATAGCTCATTAACGGAGAAAGATGGGTTTTTGCCACTCACCTGAGCCTATCTGAGGTGGGTTCCTTTCTGTATCAGCAGCTTCGAGTTGCACAAACGTCCCAAGAGACCAATCAAAAGGAACAAGCTTTTTAATTTATAATCAATAATACCGAGAACGGAGGAGGAAGAAAAAGAAGAAGGAACAAGCTTTTTAATGCGTACCCACTGTCTGGACACTGTGGAGTAGGTACCTTAAAATGGTGAGAGTTGAGAAACAAACTGGTTTGGGTGAGCAGCGGGTAGTGTGGAGGCGATTGAGAAAGAAAATGGATGGGCAATCTATAATATTGAACCAAGAATGTGGGCAGTTCTGTCCAAGCACAATTTAGCAGCTAAATTCCCAATGGCCCATTAAGAACCTTAGATAAATGGAGCCCAACCCAAAAAACTGAACCAGAAAAATTGGAGGAGAGAAAAGCCGACCCATGTTGATTTTAACCGGGTATCGTTTGCTCATGGAAAGGGTAGTGATAAATCTACTTTGATGACAGTGTTGTCTCAGCTCAAAAAATATGCAGCATCTTCCAGCCCGCCTTGTAAAGTCTCTGTCTGCTACTTCTTTACCATGCACCACTACCCTTCAAGAACTTGCCTCTGTTCACCCCAAAGGTATGTCCTTTTCTATCTATCTCTCTCTCTCTCTCTCTCTCTCTCTCTCTCTCTCTCTTTTTTGTATTAAGTTTTTTTCTCTCTTCCTCTCTTTTTTGTATTAAGTTTTTTTTTCTTTTCTTATTTTTGATTATATAAGGGCTTTGTTAAGCATATGGTATCTCTAAAACCATCATTCCATATGTTTGTTTAAATGTGAATTATGAAGCTTTTGGCTATTGGGTCTGTTTAATTTGTTTTCTTAATCGAAACAGAGCTACCAATTTAAAGTATAACTGGATTGGGTGTATATTGTATGTTGGCAAGATGGTCCACCACGGGCAAGGAGAAATAATATGCAAGAAGAAAGTCTTTGATTTTTTCTAACTTGTGTGAGACTCAGCAGTATGCTTGCGCTCATTGTAATTATGTCTCGGTCAAGCTCAAAACCATGTACGTATATACCTGATAGTGGATGATCCGTTTAGTTTTTTTTCCCAGTCATTTGTTTTCTCCTTCTAAATGCGACATGTATCTTCCTACATGCTGCATCTTGCTAGAAATAACCTAATTCCAGATTGTCATGTCAACTTAAATTAAAAAAATGCCAATCATCCAAAAGAAAGGTTTTTTTTTTGTTCCCTTGAGCTTATTTTGATGCTAGAAATGCCTGCTTTTCTTGATGAGCTTTCAATCCATCGATTAATTTTTAAAAAAATTTCTTAAACATCATGGTAATTGGTCTGGCCTTGGTAGGTGTTGCGAGGGTCGTCTTGAAAAAGGGGAAGACACAATTATTCAAGGATGGAAGCCCAATGGTTTACAGTGGAGCAGTTGATAGAATAATTGGTAGACCACCACCTAGGACTGGAGACATTGTGCTGGTAGCTGATGGGGCAGAAAAACCAATAGGCTGGGGCATGTATAATTCCGTCTCCATGTTCTGTGTTCGGCTGATGCAGCTGGAAGAGGAAGCA